CACAGCTAACTGCAACCTCACACAGCTAACTGCAACTTCACACAGCTAACTACAACCTCACACAGCTAACTGCAACCTCACACAGCTAACTACAACCTCTGCAACCTCACACAGCTAACTGCAACCTCTGCAACCTCACACAGCTAACTGCAACCTCTGCAACCTCACACAGCTAACTACAACCTCACACAGCTAACTACAACCTCACACAGCTAACTGCAACCTCACACAGCTAACTACAACCTCACACAGCTAACTGCAACCTCACACAGCTAACTGCAACCTCACAAAACTAACTACAACCTCACACAGCTAACTGCAACCTCACACAGCTAACTGCAACCTCACACAGCTAACTGCAACCTCACACAGCTAACTGCAACCTCACACAGCTAACTGCAACCTCACACAGCTAACTGCAACCTCACACAGCTAACTGCAACCTCTGCAACCTCACACAGCTAACTGCAACCTCACACAGCTAACTGCAACCTCACACAGCTTACTACAACCTCACACAGCTAAATACAACCTCACACAGCTACCTGCAACCTCACACAGCTACCTGCAACCTCTGCAACCTCACACAGCTACCTGCAACCTCACACAGCTAACTGCAACCTCACACAGCTAACTGCAACCTCACACAGCTAACTACAACCTCACACAGCTACCTGCAACCTCTGCAACCTCACACAGCTAACTGCAACCTCACACAGCTAACTGCAACCTCACACAGCTAACTGCAACCTCACACAGATAACTGCAACCTCTGCAACCTCACACAGCTAACTGCAACCACACACAGCTAACTGCAACCTCTGCAACCTCACACAGCTAACTGCAACCACACACAGCTAACTGCAACCTCTGCAACCTCACACAGCTAACTGCAACCTCACACAGCTAACTACAACCTCACACAGCTAACTGCAACCTCACTCAGCTAACTGCAACCTCACACAGCTAACTGCAACCTCACACAGCTAACTGCAACCTCACACAGCTAACTACAACCTCACACAGCTAACTACAACCTCACACAGCTAACTGCAACCTCACACAGCTAACTGCAACCTCACACAGCTAACTGTAACCTCACACAGCTAACTGCAACCTCTGCAACCTCACACAGCTAACTGCAACCTCACACAGCTAACTACAACCTCACACAGCTAACTGCAACCTCACACAGCTAACTGCAACCTCACACAGCTAACTGCAACCTCACACAGCTAACTGCAACCTCACACAGCTAACTACAACCTCACACAGCTAAGTACAACCTCACACAGCTAACTGCAACCTCACACAGCTAACTGCAACCTCACACAGCTAACTGCAACCTCACACAGCTAACTGCAACCTCACACAGCTAACTGCAACCTCACACAGCTAACTGCAACCTCTGCAACCTCACACAGCTAACTGCAACCTCTGCAACCTCACACAGCTAACTACAACCTCACACAGCTAACTACAACCTCACACAGCTAACTACAACCTCACACAGCTAACTGAAACCTTACACAGCTAACTGCAACCTCTGCAACCTCACACAGCTAACTGCAACCTCACACAGCTAACTGCAACCTCACACAGCTAACTACAACCTCACACAGCTAACTGCAACCTCTGCAACCTCACACAGCTAACTACAACCTCACACAGCTAACTGCAACCTCACACAGCTAACTACAACCTCACACAGCTAACTGCAACCTCACACAGCTAACTGCAACCTCACACATCTAACTGCAACCTCACACAGCTAACTACAACCTCACACAGCTAACTGCAACCTCTGCAACCTCACACAGCTAACTGCAACCTCTGCAACCTCACACAGCTAACTACAACCTCACACAGCTAACTACAACCTCACACAGCTAACTACAACCTCACACAGCTAACTGCAACCTCACACAGCTAACTACAACCTCACACAGCTAACTGCAACCTCACACAGCTAACTGCAACCTCTGCAACCTCACACAGCTAACTGCAACCTCACACAGCTAACTGCAACCTCACACAGCTAACTGCAACCTCACACAGCTACCTGCAACCTCTGCAACCTCACACAGCTAACTGCAACCTCACACAGCTAACTGCAACCTCACACAGCTAACTACAACCTCACACAGCTAAATGCAACCTCTGCAACCTCACACAGCTAACTACAACCTCACACAGCTAACTGCAACCTCACACAGCTAACTGCAACCTCACACAGCTAACTGCAACCTCACACAGCTAACTGCAACCTCACACAGCTAACTGCAACCTCACACAGCTAACTGCAACCTCACACAGCTAACTACAACCTCTGCAACCTCACACAGCTAACTGCAACTTCACATAGCTAACTACAACCTCACACAGCTAACTGCAACCTCACACAGCAAACTGCAACCTCACACAGCTAACTGCAACCTCACACAGCTAACTGCAACCTCACTTAGCTAACTGCAACCTAACACAGCTAACTGCAACCTCACACAGCTAACTACAACCTCACACAGCTACCTGCAACCTCTGCAACCTCACACAGCTAACTGCAACCTCACACAGCTAACTACAACCTCACACAGCTAACTACAACATCACACAGCTAACTGCAACCTCACACAGCTAACTGCAACCTCACACAGCTAACTACAACCTCACACAGCTAACTACTACCTCACACAGCTACCTGCAACCTCACACAGCTACCTGCAACCTCTGCAACCTCACACAGCTACCTGCAACCTCACACAGCTAACTGCAACCTCACACAGCTAACTGCAACCTCACACAGCTAACTACAACCTCACACAGCTACCTGCAACCTCTGCAACCTCACACAGCTAACTGCAACCTCACACAGCTAACTGCAACCTCACACAGCTAACTGCAACCTCACACAGCTAACTGCAACCTCTGCAACCTCACACAGCTAACTGCAACCTCTGCAACCTCACACAGCTAACTGCAACCTCTGCAACCTCACACAGCTAACTGCAACCTCACACAGCTAACTACAACCTCTGCAACCTCACACAGCTAACTGCAACCTCACACAGCTAACTGCAACCTCACACAGCTAACTACAACCTCACACAGCTAACTGCAACCTCACACAGCTAACTGCAACCTCTGCAACCTCACACAGCTAACTGCAACCTCACACAGCTAACTGCAACCTCACACAGCTAACTACAACCTCTGCAACCTCACACATCTAACTGCAACCTCACACAGCTACATGCAACCTCTGCAACCTCACACAGCTAACTGCAACCTCACACAGCTACCTGCAACCTCTGCAACCTCACACAGCTAACTACAACCTCACACAGCTAACTGCAACCTCACACAGCTAACTGCAACCTCACACAGCTAACTGCAACCTCACACAGCTAACTGCAACCTCACACAGCTAACTGCAACCTCACACAGCTAACTGCAACCTCACACAGCTAACTACAACCTCACACAGCTACCTGCAACCTCTGCAACCTCACACAGCTAACTGCAACCTCACATAGCTAACTACAACCTCACACAGCTACCTCCAACCTCACACAGCTACCTGCAACCTCTGCAACCTCACACAGCTACCTGCAACCTCACACAGCTAACTGCAACCTCACACAGCTAACTACAACCTCACACAGCTACCTGCAACCTCACACAGCTACCTACAACCTCTGCAACCTCACACAGCTAACTACAACCTCACACAGCTACCTGCAACCTCTGCAACCTCACACTGCTAACTACAACCTCACACAGCTACCTGCAACCTCTGCAACCTCACACAGCTAACTGCAACCTCACACAGCTAACTGCAACCTCACACAGCTAACTGCAACCTCTGCAACCTCACACAGCTAACTGCAACCTCACACAGCTAACTGCAACCTCACACAGCTAACTGCAACCTCACACAGCTAACTACAACCTCACACAGCTACCTGCAACCTCTGCAACCTCACACAGCTAACTGCAACCTCACATAGCTAACTGCAACCTCACACAGCTAACTACAACCTCACACAGCTAACTGCAACCTCACACAGCTAACTGCAACCTCACACAGCTAACTACAACCTCACACAGCTACCTGCAACCTCACACAGCTAACTACAACCTCACACAGCTAACTACAACCTCACACAGCTACCTGCAACCTCTGCAACCTCACACAGCTAACTGCAACCTCTGCAACCTCACACAGCTAACTGCAACCTCTGCAACCTCACACAGCTAACTGCAACCTCACACAGCTAACTACAACCTCACACAACTAACTACAACCTCACACAGCTAACTACAACCTCACACAGCTAACTGCAACCTCTGCAACCTCACACAGCTAACTGCAACCTCACACAGCTAACTACAACCTCACACAGCTAACTGCAACCTCACACAGCTAACTACAACCTCACACAGCTAACTGCAACCTCACACAGCTAACTACAACCTCTGCAACCTCACACAGCTAACTACAACCTCTGCAACCTCACACAGCTAACTGCAACCTCACACAGCTAACTGCAACCTCACACAGCTAACTGCAACCTCTGCAACCTCACACAGCTAACTGCAACCTCTGCAACCTCACACAGCTAACTGCAACCTCTGCAACCTCACAGAGCTAACTGCAACCTCACACAGCTAACTGCAACCTCTGCAACCTTACACAGCTAACTGCAACCTCTGCAACCTCACACAGCTAACTACAACCTCACACAGCTACCTGCAACCTCACACAGCTAACTACAACCTCTGCAACCTCACACAGCTAACTACAACCTCTGCAACCTCACACAGCTAACTACAACCTCTGCAACCTCACACAGCTAACTGCAACCTCACACAGCTAACTGTTACTGCTGTTAGGCATTAATGTTGTTATCAATGTCTAACAGTTTGATGAGAATGTGATTTACCATTAACATCTTCCATAATGAGCACAACCCTTATCTTTTTCCACAAGTGTAACTAACCTTGCAGCAGACTTGTTCATTTTTGAGCAGACGCCTTCGATCCCATTGAGAAATTTTGGAATGTCCAGAAAGAGTTTCTTCAATAAAGTGGAGCTAAACTTGTCATGTTGAGCTTGGAATGTGTGATGGACTTGAATTAAACTTTGTGTGATGGTCTCAAACTCAAGGGGAGAGCACTGAAATAAATCAAATACAATATCTCTATCTATAAAAGCAAAGTGGGTGTTGTTTGTTTGTTTGTTCCTCACACCAGGAGAAATTCCAGATTCTCAGAAATGTCATATTAAGGGATTGAAAATTGAACAGATTTACTGCCAAATTTTAACTGCATATTGAATTTAAACTTTTAATTCCCCAGTTCTTTGTCTACATACAAAAATAAAGAAAGAAATCATTTGGAAAAAGAAAAATAATACTAAACAGTTTTTAAATGGCTGTAATAATTAATAACAATTGATGAGTTTGACAGCTTGATTGTACCTATTTAAAGGGATATAACTGCGTCAGTAAATTTAAACTTTTATATATAAGTTCCCTTGTTCTTTGACTAATTTAAACTTTTAATTACCCACGTTCTTTGAAGACACATACAAATAAATATTTGTATAAAAGAAAAATTCCATTAAAAGTTACACTAAGCTGTTTACAAATTGGTGTGAAAATTAATTAAGTATGACTAATAATTAACTTTTTTTTATTGATAGCTGATGTAAAGAAAACAAATACATCACAGATAAACAATGAAGTTCATTAGTATGTTTGGTGCGCAGTTTCTGAGGCACTAGGGTATTTTTTTAACACTGCTATTGTCTGTAATGATTGGCTTCAATATAGAATGTAGATAACAGGACAACTTAGGATAAGCTTATGGTTTTGGATAGATAACAGGACAACTTAGGATAAGCTTATGGTTTTGGATAGATAACAGGACAACTTAGGATAAGCTTATGGTTTTAGATAGATAACAGGACAACTTAGGATAAGCTTATGGTTTTGGATAGATAACAGGACAACTTAGGATAAGCTTATGGTTTTGGATAGATAACAGGACAACTTAGGATAAGCTTATGGTTTTGGATAGATAACAGGACAACTTAGGATAAGCTTATGGTTTTGGATAGATAACAGGACAACTTAGGATAAGCTTATGGTTTTGGATAGATAACAGGACAACTTAGGATAAGCTTATGGTTTTGAATAGATAACAGGACAACTTAGGATAAGCTTATGGTTTTGGATAGCAACAGGGTTATAGATTTGGAGATGGCTATGGGAAAAGAAAGGGTTTGGTATTGGATATTTAGGGTTAGGATATTATATTATATTATGATTGTATTATGTAGTGGGTTAATTACACAGGGTTAGGATATTATATTAGGATTGTATTATGTAGTGGGTTAATTACACAGGATGGTAATTGAGAGGAGGTCATTGATCTGGGGGCTATTGACCCAGATAAAGCATGTCACATGGCACATGACAGATGTCACATGGCACATGACAGATGTCCCATGGCAATGACAGATGTCACATGGCACATGACAGATGTCACATGACAGATGTCACATGGCACATGACAGATGTCACATGAAACATTTTGGACAAAATTAAGGTTAAATTTTAGTTTAGTTTACGCACTGGTGGCTTTTATTTAGAGCATGCTGTATGTGTACCATGTTCTGTTACATTTTCTTATACTTTTTTTTCCGTCTACATTAATATTACGTTTTGCACTTTTTAGGATATTATGGTTTAAAAAGCTTTTACATGATACTATTCATATTTTTTTATTTCTGTATATTTTAACTGTATCAAATTCAAATGGGATTTTTAATAACCAGGATCGTGTTATCTCCCCTTTTTTTAACTGAATTAAATAATTTTAACATAAATTTTTAATGATAAATTTAAGATCTAATTAGATTAAAAATTCGATATACTTGCAACATAAACATATCTGGAAAGTTTGAACAAAATTGCTGTATTATAAGTGGATTAAAATTGAGTTACCATATTTGCCACAAACCTACTAACAAACAAACAAAAACTCTTTTGTCATTTATGGACAACCTCTTACCCTCTGGTAAAATATTTTACACAAGCCTTTCTCTAAATCTGTCAGCTGGAGAAACATGTTCATCACTTGCTTTGGTTTCTTCTCACTCAATTCTTTGATAGCATTCAATCTTTCTTCAATTTTACTGGTATAGAAACAAAATAAAATACCTGTTTAATTATAAGCTTTTTAATACACTGCCATTAACATAATAAAACAAGCTTGCTTTATTTAATAAAAGCTTTGGTTGCTAATATGTATGAAATTTCATAAGCTAACAAAATATGTATGAAATTTTATGAGCTACCAAAATATGTATGAAATTTCATAAGCTAACAAAATATGTATGAAATTTTATGAGCTACCAAAATATGTATGAAATTTCATAAGCTAACAAAATATGTATGAAATTTTATGAGCTACCAAAATATGTATGAAATTTCATGAGCTACAAATGGTAGCTTATTATTATTATTATTTTTAAAAATTATATTTGTTTTCTTTTCCACTTTTTAGTAATTTTATTCTTAATGAATTGACACCAAACACAACTAAAAATATTTGCCTTAAAACATGAAAGTATTAATCTTTAAAATAATTTTTAATGACTAACATAACAAACAATTAGATTACAAATTAAGTATGCTTGCGTTGTTTTCAGAAACAAATGTATCTGCAAATTTTTTAACAAATGCTTCATTAGAGGTGGGTCAAACTTGTGTTACAAAATTTGCCACAAACCAACAGACAGAAAAAACAAAGATGTTGTGAACAAAATAAAACCTTAGACTAATGCTTAGTAACCAAAGTCTTACTTGACATGCAGTAATTAAAGTCTTACTTGACATGCAGTAATCAAAGTCTTACTTGACATGCAGTAATTAAAGTCTTACTTGACATGCAGTAATCAAAGTCTTACTTGACATGCAGTAATCAAAGTCTTACTTGACATGCAGTAATCAAAGTCTTACTTGACATGCAGTAATTAAAGTCTTACTTGACATGCAGTAATCAAAGTCTTACTTGACATGCAGTAATTAAAGTCTTACTTGGTATGCAGTAATCAAAGTCTTACTTGGCATGCAGTAATTAAAGTCTTACTTGACATGCAGTAATTAAAGTCTTACTTGACATGCAGTAATCAAAGTCTTACTTGACATGCAGTAATTAAAGTCTTACTTGACATGCAGTAATCAAAGTCTTACTTGACATGCAGTAATTAAAGTCTTACTTGGCATGCAGTAATTAAAGTCTTACTTGACATGCAGTAATCAAAGTCTTACTTGACATGCAGTAATCAAAGTCTTACTTGACATGCAGTAATTAAAGTCTTACTTGGCATGCAGTAATTAAAGTCTTACTTGACATGCAGTAATCAAAGTCTTACTTGGCATGCAGTAATCAAAGTCTTACTTGGCATGCAGTAATTAAAGTCTTACTTGGCTTGTAGTAATGGCTGGAGCAGCCATGATCTGAATAAACGACAGCCAAACTTGGTTGCTGTTGTATTTAGCAGTTTTAAAAGTGAACCATCTTCTGACCCATCTAATGCATTTTGAACAAGTTCAAGGTCACTTATGCATTCAGAATTAAGATACATGTACTTAGTGCGGTTGGAAAACCTTTGAAATTTTCTGGAAAAGAAAGACACAATCGCATCATTTATAGTTATATTGGGGGTTAAGGTGAGATATGTTAGTTATTTAGATACAAGCTCAAAAGTAAATCATGAGCTGACAGCAAGTGTTTGTTTCAGGATTTTGAATATTTGTTTGGACATTGAGCGAGGCATTTGACCATTTAGCTGGTTACAGAAAGCTCCATTTGACCAGGAACCTGTCATACTGATGTTAGTAGAATAGTATTTAGTTATGAATGTTAGGATTAGTGAAATAGAATAGTATTTAGTTATGAATGTTAGGATTAGTGAAATAGAATAGTATTTAGTTATGAATGTTAGGATTAGTGAAATAGAATAGTATTTAGTTATGAATGTTAGGATTAGTGAAATAGAATAGTATTTAGTTATGAATGTTAGGATTAGTGAAATAGTATAGTATTTAGTTATGAATGTTAGGATTAGTGAAATAGAATAGTATTTAGTTATGAATGTTAGGATTAGTGAAATAGTATAGTATTTAGTTATGAATGTTAGGATTAGTGAAATAGAATAGTATTTAGTTATGGATGTTAGGATTAGTGAAATAGAATAGTATTTAGTTATGAATGTTAGGATTAGTGAAATAGAATAGTATTTAGTTATGAATGTTAGGATTAGTGAAATAGAATAGTATTTAGTTATGAATGTTAGGATTAGTGAAATAGTATAGTATTTAGTTATGAATGTTAGGATTAGTGAAATAGAATAGTATTTAGTTATGAATGTTAGGATTAGTGAAATAGTATAGTATTTAGTTATGAATGTTAGGATTAGTGAAATAGAATAGTATTTAGTTATGGATGTTAGGATTAGTGAAATAGTATAGTATTTAGTTATGAATGTTAGGATTAGTGAAATAGAATTTCATTTAGTTAAGGATGCTAGAAACATGTACAAATTATATAAAGTGTGAACCACTAATGGGGGAAGGGGCAAGCAAAGATTTTGTGTGCATTTGTTGCATGGGGGCTGCAAAGGGGTAGATTTGTTCTTGACCTCTAAAATTAACAGTTCTTGACCTCTAAATGTTACAGTTAAGATCAATATACTTACTGGTTATAAAAAACTAAAGTAACTTTTTGAAATTGAAATTTCTAGCTCAGCTGATAAAAGATGGAGGTCATGATCCAGAGATTTAGGATTTAAAATGTGCATAAAACTAGTCAAAGTTAGTACCTAGTGAAATCCATGACTCAAAGATTTGGGGCTTAAGTTAAGGGGATGAGTCAGTTAGTACCTAGTGAAATCCAATAATTAATAGTATTATCTCCCCTGAGTCACCAGTAGTTGGCCGGATAGCCCTTTTTTGAAAATTACAGGTGTGGCGCTATTTTCAATCTATTCCTGTATCGGTGGTTCACATTCATACTGGGCATATCTCACATACACATTTTTAATTTTCCTTCATTTACCTTTTTAATATTCAACTTTCCAAGCCCAAATATTTTTTTATTGGCATCTCAATAGGCAGATAAGTGCGTTTAACTTCTATTTATTCAATTTTGATCAAATTGTCTTTGTATTAGATCAATGTTTACATGAATACTATCAAATTGTCTTTGTATTAGATCAATGTTAACATGAATACTATCAAATTGTCTTTGTATTAGATCAATGTTTACATGAATACTATCAAATTGTCTTTGTATTAGATCAATGTTTACATGAATACTATCAAATTGTCTTTGTATTAGATCAATGTTTACATGAATACTATCAAATTGTCTTTGTATTAGATCAATGTTTAGGAGCACAGTCTGGGCATACTGTCATATTTTTTAGGATTTCTTGAATATTGGCAGATTTTCCATGTGGAGTGACATAAACACTATTTGATAATAAATTATTGAAGTGTACTTAAAAAATGATATTTATACATTTAGAAGAAGGTTAGCATATGGTTTACCTAACAAATATTGTAATTAAATGTAGATTTCTAGTAGTAAAAGAATAACAAGAATAGAGATAGAAGTTGCAGGATAGTTTACTAGGTTTAGTAAAGTTTATGCATAAGTCTAGTTCTAGTAGTAAGATTTGTTAGTTATATTTATTGCTGAAAATTGTCTTGCCTAGAACTAGTATGTACTACCCATCATCCCATGTCACATGACATGAAACACAGGTAAAAATCGCTCACCGAAGAGCATGCAAAAAACAACATCAACAGGGGCTGCAACCCAATAAATTACAACTTATTATTTACCCCCTGCTTGTAACAATGATATGTGTTACACAAGTAATAGTCCATACTTCTGTTATAATACAGATCTGTATGGTACATTTTAATCAGGAGACATAAAACAGTAAACCACTAAGCCTATTCTAAATACATTGAGCTCACTTCTATTAATGTATTTTACACTGGCTTACCATTCTAGTAGGCTACAATCATACTAGTATTACTAGGCTTACCATTCTAGTAGGCTACAATCATACTAGTATTACTAGGCTTACCATTCTAGTAGGCTACAATCATACTAGTATTACTAGGCTTACCATTCTAGTAGGCTACAATCATACTAGTATTACTAGGCTTACCATTCTAGTAGGCTACAATCATACTAGTATTACTAGGCTTACCATTCTAGTAGGCTACAATTATTCTAGTATTACTAGGCTTACAATTCTAGTAGGCTACAATCATACTAGTATTACTAATAGTTAGTAGTCTCCTGACTGACTAGGCTTTCGTTTTCAAAATATTTTATTATGCGGCTCATGGTAATTTCTATTGGAAGTTTCCAGCAAAAGCAGGTTCAGTCCAGCAACTGTTACCACACCAGAAAGACCACAGAATGTGTCACTAAGGAATAATGGAGTAGGAGATGTTGGCATCTATGGTTGGTACCGACAGAAGAAGATATAAGAAATGTTCCCATAAAAAAATCCAGTAAATCCAGTCTAAAACCATACTCAAGATATACTTCTGAGTTGTGTTTACGTGTGAAAATTATAAAAATTATTGTTATAATGATTGCCGTGTTACTAGTTAATAAATTCTACAGTTTAATCCTGTTTTGTAAATTTTTTATTTTTTGGAAAAAATTTCCTACATTCCTGACGGTACTTATGTGTACCAATATATATTGGGGCATTTAAAAATTAACAACACTAAATTTTCTTCGACGTATGCTTAATTTGTGCTAAAAGCAATATAATAACACATTGTTTAAGACAAAATTTCATTCAGAGCTTCATTTTGTAAATTCCTTTTTTTTTAATAATCCTTTTAGTCCAGCATGGCCTTAAAGATGTAAACACACCTGGTCAAAGATAAGACCTGATGTAAACACACCTGGTCAAAGATAAGACCTGATGTAAACACACCTGGTCAAAGATAAGACTTGATGTAAACACACCTGGTCAAAGATAAGACTTGATGTAAACACACCTGGTCAAAGATAAGACCTGATGTAAACACACCTGGTCAAAGATAAGACCTGATGTAAACACACCTGGTCAAAGATAAGACTTGATGTAAACACACCTGGTCAAAGATAAGACTTGATGTAAACACACCTGGTCAAAGATAAGACTTGATGTAAACACACCTGGTCAAAGATAAGACCTGATGTAAACACACCTGGTCAAAGATAAGACCTGATGTAAACACACCTGGTCAAAGATAAGACCTGATGTAAACACACCTGGTCAAAGATAAGACTTGATGTAAACACACCTGGTCAAAGATAAGACCTGATGTAAACACACCTGGTCAAAGATAAGACTTGATGTAAACACACCTGGTCAAAGATAAGACTTGATGTAAACACACCTGGTCAAAGATAAGACTTGATGTAAACACACCTGGTCAAAGATAAGACCTGATGTAAACACACCTGGTCAAAGATAAGACTTGATGTAAACACACCTGGTCAAAGATAAGACTTGATGTAAACACACCTGGTCAAAGATAAGACTTGATGTAAACCAAACTGCTGGAGGTAGATGATGAGACCAGCTATACAACTGACAACAGCTTTAGGTAAAGCATATACTCTCTGCAAACTTGAAGGCTCTGAAATGAAAATGTGTTGCCCTAAAGTAAAGTTAAAATATGTTGCCCTAAAGTAAAGTTAAAATATGTTGCCCTAAAGTTAAATGTCCCATATAGAAGATGTCTAAATTTTTATAAAAGTTAGAGATGATGATATATAATTGAGACAGTTGCACTAAGGTCTTACCATTCTTATAAAAGTTAGAGATGATTGTATATAATTGAGATGGTTGAAAAATATTATCCATAAATTCCTCTATGTGGACCTTGGTCCTCTCTGTTTCTCTGTCGGAGACACAAGTGAAGGCGTTAGATGTTTAGACAAGGTTGGCCCTAATTCATGAAAGTTGGCCCACCTACAAGGTTGGCCCTAACCCATGAAAGTTGGCCCACCTACAATTACAAATACTTAGAGATAGTTAAGTTAAAGACAGTTACAAATACTTAGAGATAGTTAAGTTAAAGACAGTTACAAATACTTAGAGATAGTTAAGTTAAAGACAGTTACAAATACTTAGAGATAGTTAAGTTAAAGACAGTTACAAATACTTAGAGATAGTTAAGTTAAAGACAGTTACAAATACTTAGAGATAGTTAAGTTAAAGACAGTTACAAATACTTAGAGATAGTTAAGTTAAAGACAGTTACAAATACTTAGAGATAGTTAAGTTAAAGACAGTTACAAATACTTAGAGATAGTTAAGTTAAAGACAGTTACAAATACTTGGACGTTTGACCCTTTGTCAGCACACAAAAGTGTGGTTACAGATTAGACAGAAAAGCAAACAGTAACAAAATTTTGGACATCTCTACAGTGAAAGCACGTCTTGTCTAAATGACACGATATCAAGTCAGACCCCATTTAGGCCATTTATTTCAACAGAATCCTTTAGTTGTGTATAGAAGGGAACGCAATCTTAGAGCCCTTTTAGTCTGCCACCCACTACCACCTGCCACCTACTACAACCTGCCACCCACTACCACCTGCCACCCACTACCACCTGCCACCCACTACCACCTGCCACCCACTATCACCTGCCACCCACTACCACCTGCCACCCACTACCACCTACCAACCACTACCACCTGCCACCCACTACCACCTGCCACCCACTACAACCTGCCACCCACTACCACCTGCCACCCACTACCACCTGCCACCCACTATCACCTGCCACCCACTATCACCTGCCACCCACTACCACCTGCCACCCACTACCACCTGCCACCCACTACCACCTGCCACCCACTACCACCTGCCACCCACTACCACCTGCCACCCACTACCACCTGCCACCCACTACCACCTGCCACCCACTACCACCTGCCACCCACTACCACCTGCCACCCATTACCACCCACTACCACCTGCCACCCACTACCACCTGCCACCCACTACCACCTGCCACCCACTACCACCTACTACAACCTGCCACCCACTACCACCTGCCACCCACTACCACCTGCCACCCACTACCACCTGCCACCCACTACCACCTGCCACCCACTACCACCTGCCACCCACTACCACCTGCCACCTACTACAACCTGCCACCCACTACCACCTGCCACCCACTATCACCTGCCACCCACTATCACCTGCCACCCACTACCACCTGCCACCCACTACCACCTGCCACCCACTACCACCACCAGATTTGGCACCACTCCTTGTCCCTGTAAATACCTGTCATTTCACCCTTCATATTGAATCACTCCAGCTGCCTAAGGGAACCCTCAAAATAAAAATTCAATTTAACTGTGAGTCCCGTAACATAATTTATGTCATCCATTGCAACATCTTTTATATTGGACAAACAGGGAAACGATTGTCTGAAAGGGTTAGCCAACACCTGCGATCAATCAACAATGAAGACGGTCTTCCTGTGGCCAAACACTTTAACAAGAGTGGACATGACATAAAAAGTGACTTTTGTGTAACCGCCGTTCAGTTTTGCCATTATTATAAAAAACGCCTAAACACTGATATGCGACTTATACTTAAATTTGGCAGACGGGCACTGGATGGTTTAAACGAACAGGTATCCTTCACCTAACCACCACACACCCCCCCCCCCCCTACAGAAATACACCACGCCCCCAACCCCACCCCTATACGGTGTCCAAGTGTCCTTTTTCGCGCATCTTTTCATTTGGATATCGTGGCATTTAGACAAGATGTGTTTAACCCTGTCGAGTGGCTAGCAGACAAGATGTGTTTAACCCTGTCCAGTGGCTAGCAGACAAGATGTGTTTAACCCTGTCCAGTTGCTAGCAGACAAGATGTGTTTAACCCTGTTTGTGGCTAGCAGACAAGATGTGTTTAACCCTGTCGAGTGGCTAGCAGACAAGATGTGTTTAACCCTGTCCAGTTGCTAGCAGACAAGATGTGTTTAACCCTGTCGAGTGGCTAGCAGAAAAGATGTGTTTAACCCTGTTGAGTGGCTAGCAGACAAGATGTGTTTAACCCTGTCGAGTGGCTAGCAGACAAGATGTGTTTAACCCTGTCGAGTGGCTAGCAGACAAGATGTGTTTAACCCTGTTGAGTGGCTAGCAGACAAGATGTGTTTAACCCTGTCCAGTTGCTAGCAGACAAGATGTGTTTAACCCTGTCCAGTTGCTAGCAGACAAGATGTGTTTAACACTGTCGAGTGGCTAGCAGACAAGATGTGTTTAACCCTGTTGAGTGGCTAGCAGACAAGATGTGTTTAACCCTGTCCAGTTGCTAGCAGACAAGATGTGTTTAACCCTGTTGAGTGGCTAGCAGACAAGATGTGTTTAACCCTGTCGAGTGGCTAGCAGACAAGATGAGTTTAACCCTGTCGAGTGGCTAGCAGACAAGATGTGTTTAACCCTGTTGAGTGGCTAGCAGACAAGATGTGTTTAACCCTGTTGAGTGGCTAGCAGACAAGATGTGTTTAACCCTGTCCAGTTGCTAGCAGACAAGATGTGTTTAACACTGTCGAGTGGCTAGCAGACAAGATGTGTTTAACCCTGTTGAGTGGCTAGCAGACAAGATGTGTTTAACCCTGTCCAGTTGCTAGCAGACAAGATGTGTTTAACCCTGTCGAGTGGCTAGCAGACAAGATGTGTTTAACCCTGTTGAGTGGCTAGCAGACAAGATGTGTTTAACCCTGTCGAGTGGCTAGCAGACAAGATGTGTTTAACCCTGTCGAGTGGCTAGCAGACAAGATGTGTTTCACCCTGTTGAGTGGCTAGCAGACAAGATGTGTTTAACCCTGTCCAGTGGCTAGCAGACAAGATGTGTTTAACCTTGTCGAGTGGCTAGCAGACAAGATGTGTTTAACCCTGTTGAGTTGCTAGCAGACAAGATGTGTTTAACCCTGTCCAGTTGCTAGCAGACAAGATGTGTTTAACCCTGTTGAGTGGCTAGCAGACAAGATGTGTTTAACCCTGTCGAGTGGCTAGCAGACAAGATGTGTTTAACCCTGTCGAGTGGCTAGCAGACAAGATGTGTTTAACCCTGTCGAGTGGCTAGCAGACAAGATGTGTTTCACCCTGTCGAGTGGCTAGCAGACAAGATGTGTTTAACCCTGTTGAGTGGCTAGCAGACAAGATGTGTTTAACCCTGTCCAGTGGCTAGCAGACAAGATGTGTTTAACCCTGTTGAGTGGCTAGCAGACAAGATGTGTTTAACCCTGTCGAGTGGCTAGCAGACAAGATGTGTTTAACCCTGTCGAGTGGCTAGCAGACAAGATGTGTTTAACCCTGTCCAGTTGCTAGCAGACAAGATGTGTTTAACACTGTCGAGTGGCTAGCAGACAAGATGTGTTTAACCCTGTTGAGTGGCTAGCAGACAAGATGTGTTTAACCCTGTCCAGTTGCTAGCAGACAAGATGTGTTTAACCCTGTCGAGTGGCTAGCAGACAAGATGTGTTTAACCCTGTCGAGTGGCTAGCAGACAAGATGTGTTTAACCCTGTTGAGTGGCTAGCAGACAAGATGTGTTTAACCCTGTCCAGTGGCTAGCAGACAAGATGTGTTTCACCCTGTTGAGTGGCTAGCAGACAAGATGTGTTTAACCCTGTTGAGTGCTAGCAGACAAGATGTGTTTAACCCTGTCCAGTGGCTAGCAGACAAGATGTGTTTAACCCTGTTGAGTGGCTAGCAGACAAGATGTGTTTAACCCTGTCGAGTGGCTAGCAGACAAGATGTGTTTAACCCTGTCGAGTGGCTAGCAGACAAGATGTGTTTAACCCTGTCGAGTGGCTAGCAGACAAGATGTGTTTAACCCTGTCGAGTGGCTAGCAGACAAGATGTGTATAACCCTGTCCAGTTGCTAGCAGACAAGATGTGTTTAACACTGTCGAGTGGCTAGCAGACAAGATGTGTTTAACCCTGTTGAGTGGCTAGCAGACAAGATGTGTTTAACCCTGTCCAGTTGCTAGCAGACAAGATGTGTTTAACCCTGTCGAGTGGCTAGCAGACAAGATGTGTTTAAACCTGTTGAGTGGCTAGCAGACAAGATGTGTTTAACCCTGTCGAGTGGCTAGCAGACAAGATGTGTTTAACCCTGTTGAGTGGCTAGCAGACAAGATGTGTTTAACCCTGTTGAGTGGCTAGCAGACAAGATGTGTTTAACCCTGTCCAGTGGCTAGCAGACAAGATGTGTTTAACCCTGTTGAGTGGCTAGCAGACAAGATGTGTTTAACCCTGTTGAGTGGCTAGCAGACAAGATGTGTTTAACCCTGTTGAGTTGCTAGCAGACAAGATGTTTTTAACCCTGTCCAGTTGCTAGCAGACAAGATGTGTTTAACCCTGTAGAGTGGCTAGCAGACAAGATGTGTTTAACCCTGTTGAGTTGCTAGCAGACAAGATGTGTTTAACCCTGTCCAGTTGCTAGCAGACAAGATGTGTTTAACCCTGTTTGTGGCTAGCAGACAAGATGTGTTTAACCCTGTTGAGTGGCTAGCAGACAAGATGTGTTTAACCCTGTCGAGTGGCTAGCAGACAAGATGTGTTTAACCCTGTTGAGTGGCTAGCAGACAAGATGTGTTTAACCCTGTCCAGTTGCTAGCAGACAAGATGTGTTTAACCCTGTCGAGTGGCTAGCAGACAAGATGTGTTTAACCCTTTTGAGCTAAGTCCTAGATTGTGTTACTGTTCGTCTTTTCTGTCTAATCTGTACCACACTGTTGTGTGCTGACCAAGACCTTGGGTTGAAACATGTGGGGAAATGAGGTAGGTGTCAATATATTGAAGCTAGAGATTGATGAATGTTCTATTTGAGGACATCAATAATTAAATTCAAAGTTTAGTAGTGAACAATTACCTGACACCAAGTGTTTGTTGAATGATTACCTGACAGAAAGTGTTTGTTGAATGATTACCTGACAGAAAGTGTTTGTTGAATGATTACCTGACACCAAGTGTTTGTTGAATGATTACCTGACAGAAAGTGTTTGTTGAATGATTTTGTAAATTTGTTTGGATGTAGAGCAGGGCACTACAACTTCCACCGGCTGCAACTGGTCAATACGATATTGTAGCTCTGTACACAGCCTACAGTCAGTGAAGGCATCATACACAACACTACTGGTTTCTGGGTCCACACACTAAAATTAAGATTTGTCAGTCTATGATAGTTTGGGCATGTATCTAAATGTCTAAGATAGTTTGGGCATGTATCTAAATGTCTAAGATAGTTTGGGCATGTATCTAAATGTTTTAGCCTAAGATAGTTTAGGCATGTAACTTAATGTCTATGATAGTTTGGGCATGTATCTAAATGTCTAAGATAGTTTGGGCATGTATCTAAATGTTTTAGCCTAAGATAGTTTGGGCATGTATCTAAATGTCTATGATAGTTTGGGCATGTATCTAAATGTCTATGATAGTTTGGGCATGTATCTAAATGTCTATGATAGTTTGGGCATGTATCTAAATATTTTAGCCTAATATAGTTTAGGCATGTAACTTAATGTCTATGATAGTTTGGGCATGTATCTAAATGTCTAAGATAGTTTGGGCATGTATCTAAATGTTTTAGCCTAAGATAGTTTGGGCATGTATCTAAATGTCTATGATAGTTTGGGCATGTATCTAAATGTCTATGATAGTTTGGGCATGTATCTAAATGTCTATGATAGTTTGGGCATGTATCTAAATGTCTATGATAGTTTGGGCATGTATCTAAATGTCTATGATAGTTTGGGCATGTATCTAAATGTCTATGATAGTTTGGGCATGTATCTAAATATTTTAGCCTAATATAGTTTAGGCATGTAACTTAATGTCTATGATAGTTTGGGCATGTATATTAATGTCTATGATAGTTTGGGCATGTATCTTAATGTCTAAGATAGTTTAGGCATGTATCTTAATGTCTAAGATAGTTTAGGCATGTATCTAAATGTCTATGATAGTTTGGGCATGTATCTAAATGTCTAAGATAGTTTAGGCATGTATCTAAATGTCTAAGATAGTTTGGGCATGTATCTTAATGTCTAAGATAGTTTGGGCATGTATCTAAATGTCTAAGATAGTTTGGGCATGTATCTAAATGTTTTAGCCTAAGATAGTTTGGGCATGTATCTAAATGTCTAAGATAGTTTAGGCATGTATCTTAATGTCTATGATAGTTTGGGCATGTACCTAAATGTCTAAGATAGTTTGGGCATGTATCTAAATGTTTTAGCCTAAGATAGTTTAGGCATGTATCTAAATGTCTAAGATAGTTTGGGCATGTATCTTAATGTCTATGATAGTTTGGGCATGTATCTAAATGTCTAAGATAGTTTAGGCATGTATCTAAATGTCTAAGATAGTTTAGGCATGTATCTAAATGTCTATGATAGTTTGGGCATGTATCTAAATTTCTAAGATAGTTTGGGCATGTATCTAAATGTCTACGATAGTTTAGGCATGTATCTAAATGCCTAAGATAGTTTGGGCATGTATCTAAATGTCTAAGATAGTTTGGGCATGTATCTAAATGTCTAAGATAGTTTAGGCATGTATCTAAATGTCTAAGATAGTTTAGGCATGTATCTTAATGTCTTTGATAGTTTGGGCATGTATCTAAATGTCTATGATAGTTTAGGCATGTATCTAAATGTCTAAGATAGTTTAGGCATGTATCTAAATGTCTAAGATAGTTTGGGCATGTATCTAAATGTCTAAGATAGTTTGGGCATATATCTAAATGTCTAAGATAGTTTGGGCATGTATCTTAATGTCTAAGATAGTTTGGGCATGTATCTAAATGTCTAAGATAGTTTAGGCATGTATCTAAATGTCTAAGATAGTTTAGGCATGTATCTAAATGTCTAAGATAGTTTAGGCATGTATCTAAATGTCTAAGATAGTTTAGGCATGTATCTAAATGTCTAAGATAGTTTGGTCATGTATCTAAATGTCTAAGATAGTTTGGGCATGTATCTAAATGTTATAGCCTAAGATAGTTTGGGCATGTATCTAAATGTCTAAGATAGTTTGGGCATGTATCTTAATGTCTAAGATAGTTTGGGCATGTATCTAAATGTCTAAGATAGTTTGGGCATGTATCTAAATGTCTAAGATAGTTTGGGCATGTATCTAAATGTCTAAGATAGTTTGGGCATGTATCTAAATGTCTATGATAGTTTGGGCATGTATCTAAATGTCTACGATAGTTTGTGCATGTATCTAAATGTCTAAGATAGTTTAGGCATGTATCTTAATGTCTAAGATAGTTTGGGCATGTATCTAAATGTCTAAGATAGTTTAGGCATGTATCTAAATGTCTAAGATAGTTTAGGCATGTATCTTAATGTCTTTGATAGTTTGGGCATGTATCTAAATGTCTAAGATAGTTTGGGCATGTATCTAGATTTATAAATAAGGTAGTAATTAGTAATGCACAGACCACAATTGCTAATTGCCTTGTGTCTTCAGATGGTGACTTTTCTTCATATACAAACATGAGGTAATTGTAGCTTGAATTGTGTTCACCCACCTGATTCAAATGTGTTGCTATTAAGGAAAAATTGGTTGTCATGAAAACTTTTTCTTTTCAAAATATGTCAAGTTGATGAATTAAGGATTTCAGAGAATTAAGTTTAAAATAAGGAAAGGATATCTTCACCAATCATGGTAGACCTATTGTATAAGTTTAAAATAAGGAAAGGATATCTTCACCAATCATGGTAGACCTAGTGTAGAGTGCAACTAACTGACGAGCGAAAGGTTTACTATCTTCTTTAGAATAAATACTTTCTGTTTGCCGCACTATCCCAACCTGTCAATGATAAAATAGTCCTAAATGAATCCATTTGTTCCTGCACAAACAAGTGCTTATAGTCCTAACCCTAACCCAAACAAGTGCTTATAGTTCTAACCCTAACACAAACAAGTGCTTATAGTTCTAACCCAAACAAGTGCTTATAGTTCTAACCCTAACCCAAACAAGTGCTTATAGTCCTAACCTTAACCCAAACAAGTGCTTATAGTTCTAACCCTAACCCAAACAAGTGCTTATAGTTCTAACCCAAACAAGTGCTTATAGTCCTAACCTTAACCCAAACAAGTGCTTATAGTTCTAACCCAAACAAGTGCTTATAGTCCTAACCCAAACAAGTGCTTATAGTTCTAACCCTAACCCAAACAAGTGCTTATAGTTCTAACCCAAACAAGAGCTTATAGTCCTAACCCTAACACAAACAAGTGCTTATAGTCCTAACCTTAACCCAAACAAGTGCTTATAGTTCTAACCCAAACAAGTGCTTATAGTCCTAACCCTAACAAGTGCTTATAGTTCTAACCCTAACCCAAACAAGTGCTTATAGTTCTAACCCAAACAAGTGCTTATAGTCCTAACCCAAACAAGTGCTTATAGTCCTAACCCTAACCCAAACAAGTGCTTATAGTCCTAACCTTAACCCAAACAAGTGTTTATAGTCCTAACCCTAACAAGTGCTTATAGTCCTAACCTTAACCCAAACAAGTGTTTATAGTCCTAACCCTAACAAGTGCTTATAGTCCTAACCCAAACAAGTGCTTATAGTTCTAACCCAAACAAGTGCTTATAGTTCTAACCCAAACAAGTGCTTATAGTTCTAACCCAAACAAGTGCTTATAGTTCTAACCCTAACACACATAAGTGCTTATAGTCCTAACCCTAACACAAACAAGTGCTTATAGTCCTAACCCTAACCCTAACAAGTGCTTATAGTCCTAACCCTAACCCTAACAAGTGCTTATAGTCCTAACCCTAACACAAACAAGTGCTTATAGTCCTAACACAAACAAGTGCTTATAGTCCTAACCCTAACAAGTGCTTATAGTCCTAACCCTAACACAAACAAGTGCTTATAGTTCTAACCCAAACAAGTGCTTATAGTCCTAACCTTAACCCAAACAAGTGCTTATAGTCCTAACCCTAACCCAAACAAGTGCTTATAGTTCTAACCCAAACAAGTGCTTATAGTTCTAACCCTAACAAGTGCTTATAGTTCTAACCCTAACACACATAAGTGCTTATAGTCCTAACCCTAACCCAAACAAGTGCTTATAGTTCTAACCCAAACAAGTGCTTATAGTTCTAACCCTAACAAGTGCTTATAGTTCTAACCCTAACCCAAACAAGTGCTTATAGTTCTAACCCAAACAAGTGCTTATAGTTCTAACCCTAACAAGTGCTTATAGTCCTAACCCTAACCCAAACAAGTGCTTATAGTTCTAACCCAAACAAGTGCTTATAGTTCTAACCCTAACAAGTGCTTATAGTCCTAACCCTAACCCAAACAAGTGCTTATAGTCCTAACCTTAACCCAAACAAGTGCTTATAGTTCTAACCCAAACAAGTGCTTATAGTTCTAACCCTAACCCTAACAAGTGCTTATAGTCCTAACCCTAACCCTAACAAGTGCTTATAGTCCTAACCTTAACCCAAACAAGTGCTTATAGTTCTAACCCAAACAAGTGCTTATAGTCCTAACGATATCCCTAACAAGTGCTTATAGTTCTAACCCAAACAAGTGCTTATAGTTCTAACCCTAACCCAAACAAGTGCTTATAGTTCTAACCCAAACAAGTGCTTATAGTTCTAACCTTAACCCTAACAAGTGCTTATAGTCCTAACCCTAACCCTAACAAGTGCTTATAGTCCTAACCTTAACCCAAACAAGTGCTTATAGTTCTAACCCAAACAAGTGCTTATAGTCCTAACCCTAACCCTAACAAGTGCTTATAGTTCTAACCCAAACAAGTGCTTATAGTCCTAACCTTAACCCTAACAAGTGCTTATAGTCCTAACACAAACAAGTGCTTATAGTCCTAACACTAACAAGTGCTTATAGTCCTAACCCTTCCAGTCTTGAATAAAGTCAGAAACAATTTTCAACTCTATTGACAAAAATAAGCAAGAAAATATTTTTACTACAGCCACCATTCCTAACCCTAACCCTCATAGTATGCTATTAAAGTTACCAAGCCCACCACTCTACCATCTATAGCCAGCATCTACCATCTATAGCCAGCATCTACCATCTATAGCCACCATCTATAGCCAGCATCTACCATCTATAGCCAGCATCTACCATCTATAGCCAGCATCTATAGCCAGCATCTACCATCTATAGCCAGCATCTACCATCTATAGCCAGCATCTACCATCTATAGCCAGCATCTACCATCTATAGCCAGCATCTACCATCTATAGCCAGCATCTACCATCTATAGCCAGCATCTATAGCCAGCATCTACCATCTATAGCCAGCATCTATAGCCAGCATCTACCATCTATAGCCACCATCTACCATCTATAGCCAGCATCTACCATCTATAGCCAGCATCTACCATCTATAGCCAGCATCTACCATCTATAGCCAGCATCTACCATCTATAGCCAGCATCTACCATCTATAGCCAGCATCTATAGCCAGCATCTACCATCTATAGCCAGCATCTACCATCTATAGCCACCACTCTACCATCTATAGCCAGCATCTACCATCTATAGCCACCATCTACCATCTATAGCCAGCATCTACCATCTATAGCCAGCATCTACCATCTATAGCCAGCATCTACCATCTATAGCCAGCATCTACCATCTATAGCCAGCATCTACCATCTATAGCCAGCATCTATAGCCAGCATCTACCATCTATAGCCAGCATCTACCATCTATAGCCAGCATCTATAGCCAGCATCTACCATCTATAGCCAGCATCTACCATCTATAGCCACCACTCTACCATCTATAGCCAGCATCTACCATCTATAGCCACCATCTACCATCTATAGCCACCATCTACCATCTATAGCCAGCATCTACCATCTATAGCCAGCATCTACCATCTATAGCCAGCATCTACCATCTATAGCCACCACTCTACCATCTATAGCCAGCATCTACCATCTATAGCCACCACTCTACCATCTATAGCCAGCATCTACCATCTATAGCCACCACTCTACCATCTATAGCCAGCATCTACCATCTATAGCCAGCATCTACCATCTATAGCCACCACTCTACCATCTATAGCCAGCATCTACCATCTATAGCCAGCATCTACCATCTATAGCCACCACACTACCATCTATAGCCAGCATCTACCATCTATAGCCAGCATCTACCATCTACAGCCAGCATCTATAGCCAGCATCTACCATCTATAGCCAGCATCTATAGCCACCATCTACCATCTATAGCCAGCATCTACCATCTATAGCCACCATCTACCATCTATAGCCAGCATCTATAGCCAGCATCTACCATCTATAGCCAGCATCTACCATCTATAGCCAGCATCTACCATCTACAGCCAGCATCTACCATCTATAGCCAGCATCTATAGCCAGCATCTACCATCTATAGCCAGCATCTACCATCTATAGCCACCACTCTACCATCTATAGCCAGCATCTACCATCTATAGCCAGCATCTACCATCTATAGCCACCACTCTACCATCTATAGCCAGCATCTACCATCTATAGCCAGCATCTACCATCTATAGCCACCACTCTACCATCTATAGCCAGCATCTACCATCTATAGCCAGCATCTACCATCTATAGCCACCACACTACCATCTATAGCCAGCATCTACCATCTATAGCCAGCATCTACCATCTACAGCCAGCATCTATAGCCAGCATCTACCATCTATAGCCAGCATCTATAGCCACCATCTACCATCTATAGCCAGCATCTACCATCTATAGCCACCATCTACCATCTATAGCCAGCATCTATAGCCAGCATCTACCATCTATAGCCACCATCTACCATCTATAGCCAGCATCTACCATCTATAGCCAGCATCTACCATCTATAGCCAGCATCTATAGCCAGCATCTACCATCTATAGCCAGCATCTACCATCTACAGCCAGCATCTACCATCTATAGCCAGCATCTATAGCCAGCATCTACCATCTATAGCCACCATCTACCATCTATAGCCACCATCTACCATCTATAGCCAGCATCTACCATCTATAGCCAGCATCTACCATGTATAGCCACCATCTATAGCCAGCTTCTATAGCCAGCATCTACCATCTATAGCCACCATCTACCATCTATAGCCACCATCTATAGCCACCATCTACCATCTATAGCCACCATCTACCATCTATAGCCAGCATCTACCATCTATAGCCAGCATCTACCATGTATAGCCACCATCTATAGCCAGCATCTATAGCCAGCATCTACCATCTATAGCCAGCATCTACCATCTATAGCCAGCATCTACCATCTATAGCCACCATCTACCATCTATAGCCAGCATCTACCATCTATAGCCAGCATCTACCATCTATAGCCAGCATCTATAGCCAGCATCTACCATCTATAGCCAGCATCTACCATCTATAGCCAGCATCTACCATCTATAGCCAGCATCTACCATCTATAGCCAGCATCTACCATCTATAGCCACCATCTACCATCTATAGCCAGCATCTATAGCCAGCATCTACCATCTATAGCCAGCATCTACCATCTATAGCCACCATCTACCATCTATAGCCAGCATCTACCATCTATAGCCACCATCTATAGCCAGCATCTACCATCTATAGCCAGCATCTACCATCTATAGCCAGCATCTACCATCTATAGCCAGCATCTACCATCTATAGCCACCATCTATAGCCGGCATCTACCATCTATAGCCAGCATCTATAGCAAGCATCTACCATCTATAGCCAGCATCTACCATCTATAGCCACCATCTATAGCCGGCATCTACCATCTATAGCCGGCATCTACCATCTATAGCCAGCATTTACCATCTATAGCCAGCATCTACCATCTATAGCCAGCATCTACCATCTATAGCCAGCATCTACCATCTATAGCCAGCATCTACCATCTATAGCCACCATCTACCATCTATAGCCAGCATCTACCATCTATAGCCAGCATCTACCATCTATAGCCAGCATCTACCATCTATAGCCAGCATCTACCATCTATAGCCAGCATCTATAGCCAGCATCTACCATCTATAGCCAGCATCTACCATCTATAACCAGCATCTACCATCTATAGCCAGCATCTATAGCCAGCATCTACCATCTATAGCCAGCATCTACCATCTATAGCCAGCATCTACCATCTATAGCCAGCATCTACCATCTATAGCCAGCATCTACCATCTATAGCCAGCATCTACCATCTATAGCCAGCATCTATAGCCAGCATCTACCATCTATAACCAGCATCTACCATCTATAGCCAGCATCTACCATCTATAGCCAGCATCTACCATCTATAGCCAGCATCTACCATCTATAGCCAGCATCTACCATCTATAGCCACCATCTATAGCCAGCATCTACCATCTATAGCCAGCATCTACCATCTATAGCCAGCACTCTACCTTATAGCCAGCATCTACCATCCTGTTGATATGGGCCTGTAAACGATGGACTGGAATACTTGCAGTCAGAAGTTTTTTACTTGAGTTACAGAAAATCTTCAACACATCGGCTGCAATCTGAATAAGTTATGACAACATAGTGTAGTTTAAGGGTTTAAATATACAAAATAGTGTACCAATCCTGCATGTTGCTGTGATCTCAAAGAAAAGAAATTTAAGGACACTCATTATAACATTCAATTGTTACCAATAATGTGTTTTTAGATATGTAACTTCCTGTGATGCAGTCTTGGGTAACTGTGATGTTGTTCTACACTAGAGTGACCCAACATTTTATAAGGGTATCATCAGCCCTTTAACAAATCATGTATTTTTAGGTGCGTGACATGTTTTTTTTTTCTATCCTTGATAGATCTGGCGCCCCGGGCCTTCCCATGAGCGCTATAGCGCCTACGTTTGGTTTAGTGAGCTCAATAGGCTATAAGATGGGGTATTATAGTCATTTACTTAGTTTAATCAGGCTGTTCAACCAGCGCGCGGGAGCGTGCAACATGGCACCCCGAGGTTATACAGTGAGAACTATGCGTTTATGTTTGCATTTAAGTTTGTGTTTACATTCTGCGTTTTTGTTTGCATGTAGGTTTGCGCTGTGTTTGTATTGTGTCTACGATTACGTATGCGTTTTTGTTTTCTTTTGTAATTGCATTAGTGTTGCATTTTTTTTGTTACTTTTGCATTTGTTTTTGTGTTATAGTTGGTTGTGGTTAGAGTTAATTAAAAAAGTAATACATTTCCTAAACCAGGGTAATGCCTGGTATATAAGTAAAGTAAAAGTAAAGAATCCTCTTTAGATCTAACCATCCATTGGGCAGATGAAGTGGAGTTCATATGTTTCTTTACCTCGCATATAAAGGAATGATGTGGTCAGCACTATGACCAGCAGCCTTTACTTTGCCTAACGTCAGTTAAGTACCCATCAGAGTTGAATGTACTCAGGGACGTTCTACTACCTTGAACCCGGATTTGAACTAGAAACTATCGGGTTAGCAGTCTAGCGCTCGAGCGCTAGGCCACGCTGTCCCATTAATGCCTGGTATATGCTGCATAATACACAGATAGGTTTTTCAAAGAGGCCAGTGCAGGGCCTGGCCGGCTAGTGTATGTATGTGAATGTATATATATATATATATATATATATATATATATATATATATATATATATATATATATATATATATATATATATATATAGGCCTACATTGTAAAAACACACAGACAGACATTCTTAGAGATGACACACATACAAAGCAAAAGTAAACTTGGTAGTACCTGGGCATCAGTCCCAAAAAATCTGTACTTGTAGCCACATTCTACAAATAGAACTGTGCTGGGATTTTCTCTTTTTATGGCTAAAAATTGCTGCTCTAATGGAGTATATGTGGATGGTAGAGTGTCAGATATAGAAGATGTGGATGGTAGAGTGTGGGATGTAGAAGATGTGGATGGTAGAGTGTGAGATGTAGAAGATGTGGATGGTAGAGTGTGAGATGTAGAAGATGTGGATGGTAGAGTGTGAGATGTAGAAGATGTGGATGGTAGAGTGTGAGATATAGAAGATGTGGATGGTAGAGTGTGAGATATAGAAGATGTGGATGGTAGAGTGTGAGATATAGAAGATGTGGATGGTAGAGTGTGAGATATAGAAGATGTGGATGGTAGAGTGTGGGATATAGAAGATGTGGATGGTAGAGTGTGAGATGTAGAAGATGTGGATGGTAGAGTGTGTGATATAGAAGATGTGGATGGTAGAGTGTGAGATATAGAAGATGTGGATGGTAGAGTGTGAGATATAGAAGATGTGGATGGTAGAGTGTGGGATATAGAAGATGCGGATGGTAGAGTGTCAGATATAGAAGATGTGGATGGTAGATAGTGAGATATAGAAGATGTGGATGGTAGAGTGTGGGATATAGAAGATGTGGATGGTAGAGTGTGAGATATAGAAGATGTGGATGGTAGAGTGTGAGATGTAGAAGATGTGGATGGTAGAGTGTCATTTAGCAAATGGCCAGAATAGATTGGAAGGTTGTATATCGCACAATCACTTGTGTGTGGGGCAGATAACAGGCCTGCGTGTGGGGCGGATAACTGGTTTGTGTGTGGGGCAGATAACAGGCCTGCGTGTGGGGCGGATAACTGGTTTGTGTGTGGGGCAGATAACAGGCCTGCGTGTGGGGCGGATAACTGGTTTGTGTGTGGGGCAGATAACAGGCCTGCGTGTGGGGCGGATAACTGGTTTGTGTGTGGGGCAGATAACAGGCCTGCGTGTGGGGCGGATAACTGGTTTGTGTGTGGGGCAGATAACAGGCCTGCGTGTGGGGCGGATAACTGGTTTGTGTGTGGGGTAGTGAAGCCAGACAATGTGTGTGTGCTGTCAGCAGGCGCAACTCTTCCAACACGTTGCATCTTGGTGTGTCTGGATAATTTCATCTTCTTCCTCTCAACTGGGACCTTGAAACAAAAATTATTTATTACTCAATGAACCATCTAAGACTAATTTCTAATGACATGCTTTACAGGTAAACCTTGCTGAATATTCCAGCATTTCTCAAGTGTTTAACAAGTTTCTAGCCCTTTGAAAAAAAAAGGGGGCCCGTTCTCAGTGATGGATTGCCAAACTTTTAGCTACAGTTTTGCACCTCGATGCAAGCTAAATCACAACTGCAAAGATACTAAATGTCTAAAACAATTTTATTTTATAATTAACCAACTTAAATTGTTTTATTATTACTTTATTAGTATACAGTATACTTTTGTTATGATTTGTAAAATTTAACTTAAACTTATTCAAGTTATTCTTGATTTACTTTTTAAAAATTGTGTTCGCTTGTGTTTTCTAGGAAACGAGCCGACCCACAGCGTATCATACGCCGCTATTTAGTTGTTTTATTTTCTACTTTTCAGTAATTCATAATTTGTGAATTCGACAGTACCAATGCTGCCACTGAAAATATTTGCTTTAAAACACTAACCCCCCCCCTCCCCTATACACCCAACCCTACACCCCCCCCCCCGTGAAAGCAGCCTCTTCTTAGTTATTTCTTAGTTACCTCCTGTAAGTTTAAAATCGAACTAAATTATCTGCCCCTAATAGAAACCCGACTCTACGACTCTACGATTTGTAAACATTTAGCTTTGTAAACATTTAGAGTGAACACCGCTCACCAGACAATGTGGGGGTGGGGTGGGGGTGGTAGTGATAGTGATAGAGAGAAAGAGAGGGGACTGCAAGGAGGCGCTTGCAGCTTGTTTTCTAACGGCTCCCAGAAGAGAATTATATATATATATACGAGCCGGCCCGCGGCATAACATACGCCGCTATTTAGTTGTTTCTAATTTTCAATAATTCATAATTTGTGAATTCGGCAGTACCAACGCTGCCACTGAAAATATTTCTTTAAAACACTATAAGTAGCTCGTTAAGGACCATAACCCCCTCCCCCCCCCCCCCCCCCCCCCACGTTTAAAATCGTTGGCTCTGCTTGTAAACATTTAGAGTGAACACAGCTCACTAAAACCATGTAGGGGTGGGGAGGTAGGGAGAGCGTTTGCAGCTTGTTTTCTAACGGCTCGAAGAAGAGAATTATATATATAGATAGATAACTCTGTTAAAATGAAATATAAATGGTTAATAAATTATTCCTAATAAAGTCCAAGGGTTAATCAAGATCTCATCTGACGTGTACTCCCGTTCTCTGCTGTTGGTCTTTGTGGCTGGATGTCTGCGTTCTTTGCTGTTGGTATTTGTGGCTGAATGTCTGGGTTCTTTGCTGTTGGTATTTGTGGCTGGATGTCTACGTTCTTTGCTGTTGGTATTTGTGGCTGGATGTCTACGTTCTTTGCTGTTGGTATTAGTGGCTGAATGTCTGGGTTCTTTGCTGTTGGTATTTGTGGCTGGATGTCTGCGTTCTTTGCTGTTGGTATTTGTGGCTGAATGTCTGGGTTCTTTGCTGTTGGTATTCGTGGCTGAATGCCTACGTTCTTTGCTGTTGGTATTTGTGGCTGGATGTCTACGTTCTTTGCTGTTGGTATTAGTGGCTGAATGTCTGGGTTCTTTGCTGTTGGTATTTGTGGCTGGATGTCTGGGTTCTTTGCTGTTGGTATTTGTGGCTGAATGTCTATGTTCTTTGCTGTTGGTATTTGTGGCTGGATGTCTGGGTTCTTTGCTGTTGGTATTTGTGGCTGAATGTCTGGGTTCTTTGCTGTTGGTATTTGTGGCTGGATGTCTGGGTTCTTTGCTGTTGGTATTTGTGGCTGGATGTCTGGGTTCTTTGCTGTTGGTATTTGTGGCTGGATGTCTGGGTTCTTTGCTGTTGGTATTTGTGGCTGAATGTCTATGTTCTTTGCTGTTGGTATTTGTGGCTGGATGTCTGGGTTCTCTGCTGTTGGTATTCGTGGCTGAATGTCTGGGTTCTTTGCTGTTGATATTAGTGGCTGAATGTCTGGGTTCTTTGCTGTTGGTATTAGTGGCTGAATGTCTGGGTTCTTTGCTGTTGGTATTAGTGGCTGAATGTCTGGGTTCTTTGCTGTTGGTATTAGTGGCTGAATGTCTGGGTTCTTTGCTGTTGGTATTAGTGGCTGAATGTCTGGGTTCTTTGCTGTTGGTATTAGTGGCTGAATGTCTGGGTTCTTTGCTGTTGGTATTTGTGGCTGAATGTCTGGGTTCTTTGCTGTTGGTATTTGTGGCTGAATGTCTGCCTCTAAGCAACCATAAAGCAATGTAGGGTCAAAACGTACGAGTGGTGGTCCAACTAATCTGATAAATAACAGTGAAAATACAATTGCTGTCATGAATGAACTTCTTGTTGGGGTGATGATAAGATTCATTTGCGAAAATCTTCTTTCGGTTTCACTTGAAGAAACTGGGATTGTACTGAGAGCAATTCGCAAAGGAATCTGTTTATCAGGAATGGTTTTTTTAATGAGATATTCATGAAATCTGTGTATCATTATTCTTTCGTTTAATTGCAATCTTGTTGACAAGTTTCTAATTTTTGTTTTACCAAATGTTGAGTGAGTACCAATGTTGTCCGGCCATTGCTTTGAATTGAGCACTCAACCCAATATGCCAACTCAGCATCTTGACTAGAAAGCAACCTTTGTTAATTGATTCTTGTAGTTTTTTGTATATAGTTTGTACATCAATTGGTGGATCACAGGTACAGTTTTTGGTGTGAAGTGAAGGGTTAGGGTTATCTACAGCAGTGGCCACAATAAGGGCCTGGAATAATTTGCCTTACTCAAAATTCTGTAGAACAGCCTGCACATTTTTTATCTGCTCTGGAGATGTCTATGTTGCGCTCTTGCAAATCCAAACTTAACTCTGACAATTCTAGGAATGCATCGCACATCAATCCGATGTCTTGACCAAATTGAGTAGAAGTAATCTTTCACTGCAAACCTTCATAACTGCATTGATCTTTTTTGTCTCTGATTGAGTCAAGTTTTGCTTCTTCAAAATGTTGTACAAAAATTTCATAATCTTCCCAAGCTGCTAAAATAGAACGGAAGCAGGATGCCATACATCGCGTGCTTAACATTCTTCCAATTTTTAACAACTCAGCCTCTAACAAACAAGCACATATTTGCAATTCTCTGCAATTTTTGAGTTCAGCACTGAATGCCTTAAATCTGTTGATCCCTGAAACTTGTTTTCCGACATCACCAACAGAGACTTCCAGTCTGTGTTTTACACAATACCAAACCAGAACCGTTGGAAACTTTTGTCTTGAGGCCACTTGTGGTTAGCACAATACCAAACCAGAACTGATGGAAACTTTTGTCTTGAGGCCACTTGTGGTTAGCACAATACCAAACCAGAACTGATGGAAACTTTTGTCTTGAGGCCACTTGTGGTTAGCACAATACCAAACCAGAACCGATGGAAACTTTTGTCTTGAGGCCACTTGTGGTTAGCACAATACCAAACCAGAACTGATGGAAACTTTTGTCTTAAGGCCACTTGTGGTTAGCACAATACCAAACCAGAACTGTTGGAAACTTTTGTCTTAAGGCCACTTGTGGTTAGCACAATACCAAACCAGAACCGTTGGAAACTTTTGTCTTGAGGCCACTTGTGGTTAGCACAATACCAAACCAGAACTGATGGAAACTTTTGTCTTGAGGCCACTTGTGGTTAGCACAATACCAAACCAGAACTGATGGAAACTTTTGTCTTGAGGCCACTTGTGGTTAGCACAATACCAAACCAGAACCGTTGGAAACTGTTGTCTTGAGGCCACTTGTGGTTAGCACAATACCAAACCAGAACTGATGGAAACTTTTGTCTTGAGGCCACTTGTGGTTAGCACAATACCAAACCAGAACCGTTGGAAACTTTTGTCTTGAGGCCACTTGTGGTTAGCACAATACCAAACCAGAACTGTTGGAAACTTTTGTCTTAAGGCCACTTGTGGTTAGCACAATACCAAACCAGAACTGTTGGAAACTTTTGTCTTAAGGCCACTTGTGGTTAGCACAATACCAAACCAGAACTGATGGAAACTTTTGTCTTGAGGCCACTTGTGGTTAGCACAATACCAAACCAGAACTGATGGAAACTTTTGTCTTAAGGCCACTTGTGGTTAGCACAATACCAAACCAGAACCGTTGGAAACTTTTGTCTTGAGGCCACTTGTGGTTAGCACAATACCAAACCAGAACTGTTGGAAACTTTTGTCTTAAGGCCACTTGTGGTTAGCACAATACCAAACCAGAACTGATGGAAACTTTTGTCTTAAGGCCACTTGTGGTTAGCACAATACCAAACCAGAACCGTTGGAAACTTTTGTCTTGAGGCCACTTGTGGTTAGCACAATACCAAACCAGAACTGTTGGAAACTTTTGTCTTGAGGCCACTTGTGGTTAGCACAATACCAAACCAGAACTGATGGAAACTTTTGTCTTGAGGCCACTTGTGGTTAGCACAATACCAAACCAGAACCGTTGGAAACTTTTGTCTTGAGGCCACTTGTGGTTAGCACAATACCAAACCAGAACTGATGGAAACTTTTGTCTTGAGGCCACTTGTGGTTAGCACAATACCAAACCAGAACCGTTGGAAACTTTTGTCTTGAGGCCACTTGTGGTTAGCACAATACCAAACCAGAACCGATGGAAACTTTTGTCTTGAGGCCACTTGTGGTTAGCACAATACCAAACCAGAACCGATGGAAACTTTTGTCTTGAGGCCACTTGTGGTTAGCACAATACAAAACCAGAACTGATGGAAACTTTTGTCTTGAGGCCACTTGTGGTTAGCACAATACCAAACCAGAACCGTTGGAAACTTTTGTCTTGAGGCCACTTGTGGTTAGCACAATACCAAACCAGAACCGATGGAAACTTTTGTCTTGAGGCCACTTGTGGTTAGCACAATACCAAACCAGAACCGATGGAAACTTTTGTCTTGAGGCCACTTGTGGTTAGCACAATACAAAACCAGAACCGTTGGAAACTTTTGTCTTGAGGCCACTTGTGGTTAGCACAATACCAAACCAGAACCGATGGAAACTTTTGTCTTGAGGCCACTTGTGGTAAGCACAATACCAAACCAGAACCGATGGAAACTTTTGTCTTGAGGCCACTTGTGGTTAGCACAATACCAAACCAGAACCGATGGAAACTTTTGTCTTGAGGCCACTTGTGGTTAGCACAATACAAAACCAGAACCGTTGGAAACTTTTGTCTTGAGGCCATTTGTGGTTAGCACAATACCAAACCAGAACCGATGGAAACTTTTGTCTTGAGGCCACTTGTGGTTAGCACAATACCAAACCAGAACTGTTGGAAACTTTTGTCTTGAGGCCACTTGTGGTTAGCACAATACCAAACCAGAACTGATGGAAACTTTTGTCTTGAGGCCACTTGTGGTTAGCACAATACCAAACCAGAACTGATGGAAACTTTTGTCTTGAGGCCACTTGTGGTTAGCACAATACCAAACCAGAACTGTTGGAAACTTTTGTCTTGAGGCCACTTGTGGTTAGCACAATACCAAACCAGAACTGTTGGAAACTTTTGTCTTGAGGCCACTTGTGGTTAGCACAATACCAAACCAGAACTGATGGAAACTTTTGTCTTGAGGCCACTTGTGGTTAGCACAATACCAAACCAGAACTGATGGAAACTTTTGTCTTAAGGCCACTTGTGGTTAGCACAATACCAAACCAGAACTGATGGAAACTTTTGTCTTGAGGCCACTTGTGGTTAGCACAATACAAAACCAGAACTGTTGGAAACTTTTGTCTTGAGGCCACTTGTGGTTAGCACAATACCAAACCAGAACTGATGGAAACTTTTGTCTTGAGGCCACTTGTGGTTAGCACAATACCAAACCAGAACCGATGGAAACTTTTGTCTTAAGGCCACTTGTGGTTAGCACAATACCAAACCAGAACCGATGGAAACTTTTGTCTTGAGGCCACTTGTGGTTAGCACAATACCAAACCAGAACTGATGGAAACTTTTGTCTTGAGGCCACTTGTGGTTAGCACAATACCAAACCAGAACTGATGGAAACTTTTGTCTTGAGGCCACTTGTGGTTAGCACAATACCAAACCAGAACCGATGGAAACTTTTGTCTTGAGGCCACTTTTGCTTCCAACCATCACAGCGCTCCATCACATGAAAGGGAAACCAAGCTCCTTCTTAGAAAGTCTTCTGTTAACCCATAGAAATGAAGGCAGTGTAGTAAAGAAGCAAAAACTCCATTTGCTGGTAAACTTTTGAGTTCTACCAAATCCAAGAATAAATTTACTGGTGAGGTCATTCCACTGTCAGCTAGACAAACACAAATATATACAATTAAAGTCGATTTTGGCTAAGCATAGTCGATTTGTTGATGATCAATAAAGTTTTACTGTTCAACCGTACAATTTCTTCGAACAATTTCTTTCATTTCACAACTGGTGATTCACTACATTTATTCAAGCAATGGTTGAATGAAGAATACGGCCCATCTCAACATCATTTAGTTCTTCAAAGTTCTTGCAAATCTATTTCAGAATGGAAATTATGAAATGATTGTTTTTCTTTGGCTACTTTAAAACAAACGTAGGTGCTACAGTGCTAACAGGAGATGAAAGAGGTGAATGAACCAGCCTACTTGTTTTTGTATGGGTATAAAAGGTCTGTGACAGTGTGCTTTGTTTACCTCATTTTCACTTTATCCACAATAGTGTGGTACAGACAAATTCATATGCGCACACACACACAATATTGGGTAATTGATAGAGGACGTAAAGTCAAAGACACTTTTTACCGTGATTTGTGATTGGGGGTGGGAGTGACATATATTATGACGGTGACAGGTCTTTAAAAATGCGATGGGGTTTGGCGGTGGGTTAAATTTCTATATCTCTTCATGTTATATAATTTGACCTTGATTTTTAATCTTCTGTTAGTAAAAATGTTCTATTTTTGAAAACTCACAAGTGTTTATTTTTTCTGTCTGCCTCTTGGTCTGATGGCCTTATGTGTTTTGGTCATATAGAATTCAAGCAGAGGAATACAAAGGCAACAACTGGCACCAGGCTAGCTGGCACATAGGGCACCCGTCAACAAAAGGTCAACAAAAGGTCAACGCAAAAAAAGTCACAGGAAAAAAAAACAGGAAAAAAGTCACAGTTTTTGCTAGGAAAAAAGTCACAGAAAAAAGTCACAATGGAATAATTTTATCAGAAAAAAGTCACAGAAATAAAGTCACAGAAAAAAAGTCACAAAAATCTTTTCAAAAACATTTTGATTTATTTGTTGAAAATAATAAAATTTTGTATGTTTATGTTGTGGGTTTTTTTTTTTTATAGCATATATTATTTATAGACGTTAAAAGCATTATGGTTTCTAACAATTGTAAGTAAAAATACTCTAAGATAATTTACACAACAATCTCAACTTTTGTTACGTATTTAGTTAAATAGGCGGTAGCAAAATTAATTATAAAAGAAATTTAGCCACATCATTGTGTTTTGCATATGTTTTGCCGTAGACTATTCTCTGGTCAGCCTCAGCTCAGTCGGCCTTGTGTGTTGTTGACGTTATGCGTCAATGACAGCCTTTGAACCTTGTCGGCTTTCTGTTTTGATCCTAAGTTTTGTTATGTTATGAGCGTGATAAATGTGGGCAGTAAAGGTGGTTGAACTAAACATAACTATTGTTGCCATGAGCTGAGGGCAGCAAGTCAGATGAACTTACCGTTTCACGGTAATTTAATGTTAGTATTTTAAAAAAACACGATGAAAACCGAGGACGTTGGAACATTCTATTAAATGCTATTAAAATTATGTTTAACATAATTACAATCTACATACTTCATACTAAATATGTTTAGATGAATTATAAAAATTACCATGCATATACAACTACACACATTACATTTAATTAATCCTAAGTTAATTTGCACTTTTATGAATATATAATTCATAAAAAAGTATTAACAAATCCCATGCAAATATAGGCTATATTTGTGACTTTTTTTCCTGTGACTTTTTTCCTACAATCAAACAAAATACTGTGTCCATTTTAAAGTTTTTCAGACATAAGCCATAATTTCCTCTCCAGTGTCAAATTTTGTTGCAATACTGACAGTTAGGGTAAGGGTTCAGTTATTTGCATCAGAGAAAACCAAGACAGTCAGTGACTAGGTCAACACAGGCAGGTCAGTGACTAGGTCAGGACAGGCAGGTCAGTGACTAGGTCAGGACAGGCAGGTCAGTGACTAGGTCAGGACAGGCGGGTCAGTGACTAGGTCAGGACAGGCAGGTCAGTGACTAGGTCAGGACAGGCAGGTCAGGACAGGCAGGTCAGTGACTAGGTCAGGATAGGCAGGTCAGTGACTAGGTCAGGACAGGCGGGTCAGTGACTAGGTCAGGACAGGCAGGTCAGTGACTAGGTCAGGATAGGCAGGTCAGTGACTAGATCAGGACAGGCGGGTCAGTGACTATGTCAGGACAGGCGGGTCAGTGACTAGGTCAGGACAGGCAGGTCATTGACTAGGTCAGGACAGGCAGGTCAGTGACTAGGTCAGGACAGGCAGGTCAGTGACTAGGTCAGGATAGGCAGGTCAGTGACTAGATCAGGACAGGCGGGTCAGTGACTATGTCAGGACAGGCGGGTCAGTGACTAGGTCAGGACAGGCAGGTCATTGACTAGGTCAGGACAGGCAGGTCAGTGACTAGGTCAGGACAGGCAGGTCAGTGACTAGGTCAGGACAGGCGGGTCAGTGACTAGGTTTGGACAGGCGGGTCAGTGACTAGGTCAGGACAGGCGGGTCAGTGACTAGGTCAGGACAGGCAGGTCAGTGACTAGGTCAGGACAGGCAGGTCAGTGACTAGGTCAGGACAGGCAGGTCAGTGACTAGGTCAGGACAGGCGGGTCAGTGACTAGGTCAGGACAGGCAGGTCAAAGACTAGTGCGTTGGCCAGAATAAAGATACAAAATCTAAAAGCAGCCCTCTGATGAATGTAACCATAACACAAAAAACGTAAAAAAAATTGCAATGGAACCTCATCTTCCATAGTTTTGGATTGTGTGGCATCTTGCAGCATCTCAGCTTTGTTTTGTAATTTAAAGAATTGAGATTTTGTAGCAAGTTTTTTTAAGTGCTCTCTCTTTGGTGCCATATCTGGTGATGAACAAACATTTAGAGTTTTAGTATGTAAAACAATATCAGTATGTAAAAAGTTATCAGCCGAGGCTACGCCAGGGTGACGATCTGTCTGGGATTCAAAGGGTCTATTCTAAATAGTAAATATCATCCAACAATTGTATTAAACTTTTGAGTAATAAATAAAGACTAGCAATGTTTTCATCAGATGCAACCAAGCTCATTTACTTAAGCAGCCATCTTGTTTAATTTTTTTTTGTTGTAAAATTATAGTTAGCGATTCAGGGGAAACCACTCTAACATACAGTTGGCCACTTTATACAGAAAATCCTGCTCGCAAAGACTGCTGTTTTAAGTTTAATTTCTGGCCTATATTAAATATTGATATATTTAGCCATTGATTTTGGTTTATTATTCAATTATCTCTAATATTTGACGCAAATATATCACTATTAAAGCCTTAACAATAAGGCAACTTTTTCGGACATTACTAGCCTCAGCCGATTTACGCACCTAAAACGATAGATGACACAAAACTTTAAATCAGTTGAGTTAAAATTAGATCTAGAATCTATATCTAGAATCTAGAGATCCTAAAGTAAAAATTAAATGAGTCACTGTTTGGTAATCTATCGTTTTAGGTACATAAAATCACCAGCAGCTAGTAATGTACAAAAAAGTTACCTCATTGTCAAGGCTTTAATAGAAGTATATTGTAATATATTTGTGTCAAATATGATAGTAAATGAATAATAAACCTAAATCAATGGCTAAATAGTAAATACTAAATATATCAATATGTATAGGCAAGAAATTAACTTTAAACAGCAGTGTTTGCGAGCAGGATTTGCTATATACTTAAATATACTATTATATACTATAAATCCTGCTTATATAGTATTTAAAAAGCGGCCATCTGTAAGTTAGAGTGGCTTCCCCTGAAATTTATAAAAAAAAATTTCAACAAGGTGGCTGCAACAGTAAATGAGCAATGTTGCATCTGTTGGAAACATCGCTAGTTTTCATTTATTACTGAAAATTTTTAATTCAATTGTTTAAAAACAGGTACATAAATGAAACAGGGAAACATTTTTGTATTTTTCAAAACATAAATCCTCCTCAAAACGTGAAATAATTATTAAAATTTAAGGAGTCACCTGTTTTTCACATTGATTATTGTAGTCGCGGGCGATTTTACGTACCTAACCCTAACCGTTAAAATAACTAATCAAAATCAGAGGCCAACCTATCAAAAAATCCTGCAATGAAATTTGAACAACGGTGTTTGAAACAAATGGATCTAGATATTCTAGATCTAGAGATTGGTTATAAATACTGAATACAACTTGTGTTACAAGGAGCGGCCATTTTTCAACATCAATATTAAAGATTAGTAGTTTCCCCTTGAACATTTTCTATTCACGTGTCTATTGTGTTGATTTTCGTTATTGAATGTGGTCATTGTGATTGATTATCTACTTTATTTTATTTATATGAAGACCTTGTTGAAATTGAATTGTTATGTAATTATAGTGAGAGATACAGCTATGATTTCTATATATTTAAACACAACGTAGTTTTCTGTAACAGCTTCGTTTGTTTCAACTTTCAATCCTTTTTTTTTTACTTCTCTGTGGTCGAGTTTTACTTTTACTCCTCCCCTCCACCAATCATTACAAAAAGCCAGCCACCTCAATGGGGCTAACCCCCCCCCCCCCCCTCGGAATGATGCCTGGAAGAAACTATGCCCTAGTATAGTCTTTTCGATGTTCCACTCCCTCTAAATACAAAATAATCTCAGTTCGTAGTTCGTAGAATAATTAGAACAGTGGTTCCCAAACTTTTTCGAGTGGCGACCCCCTTTTATAAAAAGTAAGCGACCCGCGACCCTCATAGAATTAAAAAGCCGAAATTAGTATGGAAATTAATAAGCACTAAAATAAGATTTTCTGGAAGACTTTCATTATGAATTACTCTTGATAACTGTTTTAATACCATGAGTAAAATTGCATACTATTTACTAAACATTCGCGGTTAATTTTTTTTTTTTTTAAAGTTTTTTTTTTGTTAATGCCAACCTATGTCAATATCATTATCTTAATTTTTTTAAATCGAAGAATAGTGTTGAAAATACATTCTCGAAAAGTCAATCAATTTTAGGTTTGGGTATGAATGGTGAATACTACACCGAAATTGTGTCTGAAGTTTTTCATTTTACGCGGAATCATTCTGTGAATCAAATAATAATAATCTTGTAATTCATCGGGAATGCTGGCAATATCAAGGGAAGAAGAGAATGGATAATGCGTCAATGCAGATTCTTCTTTTTTCAGCTCAGAGAAATAGCGCTGCAGTTCGTTTTCAAGAGATTCAAGATGCCCAGAAATCGCTTCTTTCAAAATTTTAATTATCTCACAATTAGATTCATCTACCACACTGCAGAGTTTCTCAAATTTACAATATTTCCAAGATTTATTTTCTTCGCCGATTTTGCAACTTTGATAAAAAATGTCCCGAAATTTTCATGGAAAGTGATAATATTCGTCCATTTTCCCCGAAGCTTCAGGTTAAGCTTATGTTGATGTTCGAACACATCTGCTAGATATGATACTCCCTCCAACCACTCTATTTCGTTTTTATACCAAAAGGTCTCGTTTTCTTTGCACTTCCAAGAACAATTTGATTTCAGATTTCAATTCAAAAACACGATTCACAACATTTCGTTTGACAGCCAGCGTACTGTAGTGTAGAAAAGCAGAACCTCGTGATCTATATTAATGTCTTTGCTCAGTTCTTTGTAGGCTCCAGATTTTACGTAATTTACGACTTATACTAGCAATGGAGTCTTGATGGCGATTGGTGAGGGTAGTGGTTAGGGAGCTAAATCTTTTCTGCTTTCTGAAAGCCCGATTTTGACCTAAACATAGATGGCGCACCATCCGTACAAACCCCCACAGCTGTTTCAACCCATTTTAATCATCCAGTTTTTAAAAAAAAACCTATTTATTTTCTCCATGCTATCTTCACAAAATAGCAACTCTTCTTTGCTATCATCTGAACGAATATAGACAAAGACCAGCAACTGCGAACACGAACTCACGTCTGTTGATTTATTAACTTGAAAAGCAAACAATGGTGAAAGCTTAATTTCAATGAAAGTGTGTTATTTAACATATACGGACATGTAAGAATTAACTTCACCATCTTCAACATGCAACGTTTGATGAGATTTTCTCCTATTGTGTTTTTTTTTTTTTTTTTGCTTGGTATTTTCTATCGCGACTTCATTTGATGCTTGCACTAATGCTGTGTTTCCGTAATGAAAACTTCCTGTTCGATCAAGTCTCTGACGTTTGCAACTAGCTTCATACCGACGAAAGAACTCCATATCTTTGTTGATGTGTTCCGAATGACTCGTCTCAAATGACGTTTTAGTTTTGAAGATTTCATAAACTCGTGACTGAGAACAACTTTGTACAGTACGCTTTGCTTGTTCTCTATTCCCTTTCCATTGATGTTAGTAAAGCCGAATTTCAAAAATTCTTCTAAATATTTATGTTTTGTTTCAAATTACTAAGATTTAGTATACCAGTTGGCGACACCCCCCCCCCCCAGAAAGCCCTTCGCGACCGCCAGTTTGGGAACCCACTGAATTAGAATCTATCTGTTGATCGTTTTTGTTTTATTTTCAAGAAATGTAAAACGTATGCTACGTCGCATAAAAGCGCATTTCTGAAACCCCACTGTTTCATCCCCCACAGCACATCGTCACCAAATCACGCCGGGGGGGGGGGGGGGGCGGAGGGGCCCAGGCCTCGGGCATCCATATCTTGGGGGTAGGGAAACAACGGGGTAAAATGGGTTTTTTTTTTTTGGAAGAAAATTAAAAATGTTCTTAGGTTTGACTATCTAGGCAGAATTATCAAATTCAACCAAATGTGTATATACAATTAACAAATGGCAATGATATAGTCATCGTACCGTCCGTGTCGTACAACGTTCAGGGAGAAAGGGGCATCGGTGAAGGGTAGTGGTATAGTAGTCATTGATATTCCCCTAATAATTGTATGCAGTCTTTCAATAGAGTATCTGATACTTATTTAGGTATAGTGTAGGTAGGGGCATCTTTTAGAGAATATATGCACATAACCATTTTTAAACACTTATGGTCATCCATTGAGTATTAAAGCCCATGATTATAATTTATACACTGTAGGGGCATCTTTAATGTAATTTTGCTTATATTCATCATAATACTTTTGAAGGGCATCCATACAGTAATTATGCCAGCATTCATTTTATATATCGTCAGGGCATCTTTAAAGTAATTTTACTTTTTGTATTTGCATTTGTATTTTTGAAGGGCACCCTTACAGCAATTATGCCCATATTCGTTTTATATATTATCGGGGGATATTTACTATGCTTATATACATTATATAATGTCTGTAGGGCATCCATACAGTAATTATGCACATGTTCGTTTTATATATTATCGTGGGATATTTATTATGCTTATATTCATTATAGAATGTCTGAAGGGCATCCATACAGTAATTATATGCCCATGTTCGTTTTATATATTATCGGAGCATCTTTATTATGTTTCTATTCATTGCATAATGTTTGCAGGGCTTCCATACAATAATTATGCCCATATTCATTTTGATGGACGTAACGGCATTCGTAGAGTGATTAAGCACATATTCTATTGTTGTTTTTTATTGTAATGATATTCTTTATAATATTCATGACCATATAGCTTTTTGTTTTTAAATATTGTTGGGATTAAATACAAACTTTAAAGTCCGTACTGTTTCGATACACTGGGCCGAGTTCACTTCATTGTAAGGTTGTCCTGAAGTCTCACACGTCTTAATTACCGGCATTCACGGCCGCCCCGTCGAGAAACTCGTAAGTAAGGTGAAGCTGGCTGTCACTTGGTTCCCTCCCTCACTTTAGACACAAACCTCCTATTGTAAGACCGCGATGTTGATCAGTAATGTAATACGTGGACGCTCTATCAGCACGGCCAGAGATCATGTAACGTAGTATTCGAACTTGGAGACTGATTTTGGGTTTTCCATCCCGTAACCATACATTAAATGCACAGTCTGCGTGATCCTTTACCTCACATCACCAACTTTCACCCAACCCAAAGCACTTACTCATTATCTGAATTGGGGGCACATAATATATACCTAGTTTTATTTCGACTAATAGTAGAGCCATCTGTTGAGTAATTGAGCCCGAATTGATTTAATGAAATGCGGGGGTGGGTTTAGGCCATGGTCAACATTAATGGATTTTCCCCACCTGATCTGGACAGAATGCGTTACATAGGTGTTAAACTCAGAGTTTCTTTCAGAAATTTTTACCGCCCCCCCCCCCCCCCCCCCCCCCGAACGAAATGAAATTTATATAATTTATATAGAAAATATATACTTTTAACAGTGTCCGCCCCCCGAAGAAAGTTTACCGCCCCCCCCCCGAAGATTTCAATTGCCCCCCCGGAGAAAAAAGTCTGGAAGAAACACTGGTTAAACTTAAGAACACGTCCAAGTTGTAGGGAGGGTTTGACATAGCGAAGTGGATGGTTAGACACGGGCCGATGTTTTTTGAGTACCTAGCATCACACCTCCTTAAAGCATTGACCTTTTGACCGAGTGGCTTAGAGATAATAAAAAAAAAGTGAAACCTCTAGTTCAGGCACACTCTCGTCTTAATTGCATTATAGGAATTCCCAAACAGGCCAAGAGAGAAGTAGCCTGTAAATAAAGGCGTTACCGCTGTCCCGCACGGTAATACAAAACCGGATGAGACTCTATTGTAGGGCATGGCATCTAACCCCCCACCCCCAGACACACACCCGATATGTCCCCCTACTGTCTCCCCACCCCAAAGTTTCTCCCATTGAAACATCTGAGTTGTGAATTCTTTGTAATTTCGCCGGAGTCAATGTTTTCATCTTGCAAAGTACAATTTTTAAAAATGCTTTTCAATTTGTATTAACTTTAATTTGTAATTAAACTTTATATAGGCCTATCAGTAGCGTACGCAGGGGGGGGGGGGGGGGGGGGGGGGGGGGCAGGGGGAGCGGTCGCTCCCCCTCCAACCATTTTTAGCAAAGTGGCGCCTTTTTGGAAACTTTTTAAGTTTAAGCTTTAAACATTGATATTTGTTAAAAAATTATCTTTGATCGGCCCATCTATGCAAATCACAATATTTATTTCATGCAGCAATTAATCATAACAGTAGGTAGTCCAAACTGGCGAAAAAGTGCGTTTTAGGGTCAGTTTTTGCGGTTTTTTAAAAACAAAATTTCACTACTTCTAGTTGTCCTATAAGAATAAAAATTATATGTCAATAAAG